ATAATGCATAATCGTCATGTTTCACCAAATTGTCTGTAATTTGTTATTATATCTACCAACACACAGTGGTGCAGGGTATTATGTCTGTTAGGCAAAGAGAAACCATGGGTCTGGCTCTTTTTGAGATTAATCATAGAATCACTTTCTGATGAGTCGATTTATGCATGTCTGTCCGTCCATGTTTTCTTGTGAACAAATTACGGGTAGCATTTATGATCCGAAATGGATGCAATTTGGCCGAAGGACAGATATATCTCCCATATATATTTTAAATTTTATGTAAATGGTGCACCAAAGGCCACTGAATCAAGACCATATGGACTTGTGTGAAGTTTTATTGAAATCGGTTCAGATTTATAAATAGCTCCCTATATTTTTGTCCGATTTTATGCAGATGTGGCACCAAACTCCCAAACTTTGTCCTATTGGGATAACATTTTGCACAGCGCCGATAGTCCTCCAAATATACTACGTTTCTTCTATTGACAGGATAGGGTGAGTGGTGAAGGGTATCATATAGTCGGCCCGTCCAATTTTTGAACTTTTCTTACTGGTTTTGATTTGTCTCAGCGTGGAATTATCTGAAGTGATACCTTTTTAGGATAGCCCCCATATAAAGTTACCTTCCAATATTCACGATTTTGCATGCCATTGGATGTCAAATCTCACTACCAAAAATTCTCAAAATTCCAGTGTTTTAGAAGGCTCAGCAGGTTCTTCAAACAAATTGGCCGTAGTTTGATATTTTAAATTACCATTGGGTAGCACATAGTTCTATCAAGAATTATTAAGATTGCGTACCCACTCCCACCACCTCTATAAATGTCCCCATTATCCGGTATTTTGGGATTATGGTCGCGTTTTTGAACCGATCAGGCTCTAATTAGTTGTCAAATCTTTCGACCCAAAACCATGACATAATCTGCAATATATGCAAATCCCGAACGATTGCATATATTTTTAATATTCACCTCATGGTGGAGGGTATAATAAATGAACTCAGAAAGAGATTCTATGTATATCCTCAAATGTAATTAAGGGTTTATCTCATTACCTTTTGAATATTACATATGTCTAACACAAAGAGTAAGCAAACTCACGCTTTATGGATCTGAAGCATGGGTACTTGCGAAAGCAGATGAGGCAGCTCTTGGGGTGTTTGAAAGAAAAATGTTCCGAAAGATCTACGGCCGATCTACGTCAACGTTGAATGAACCACGAGCTTTACAATTTATAAGCGGACATCGACATAGTCAGTCGTATTGAGCTGTAGCGACTACGGTCGCTAGGCCATGTTGTGCGAATGAATGAGAATGCCCCAGCTCAAAAGACACGTAAAAGCGATGGTTCACAATTAGGAATTGTCCTTCTAATAAAGTTCAGCAAATTTATATTTTTTTTGCAATAGTTCCTTTATAATTTTAGTAGGCCCAGTTCTAAATTTAATGACAGTTCATTTAACGAGTTGTGTTTCCCAATGTTTCAAAGTTCACATTAAAAGTTCATCTTATAATGAGAGCACTTATTAAATTACATAATACATACTGTACTTTATAACCTGCATCCCTGTTTCGATGCAGTTTACAAATTATTATTCTTTTCCTTTTAGATAAGACTCAAACTCTTCTGTACGAATTTTTAGACCTTAACTTTTAGATCTTTAATACTTTCTTCTCATATTATGTTATTTTTTTCAAATTTGTTAACTTTTCTGTGTCTGTGTAGTTGCAAATGTGTAACATGTGTGTATGTGTTTGCTTAATTGAATTAATATGTAAATAATTCTAAAAAAACTCGATTTTACTAATTATCCTTAATTGTAATAATTTTTAATTGCACATTTTGTTTGTTTATGTGTGGGTTTTGTGACATTTTTGATATTTCGAACAGGACTGCGGGGTCGAGAGTGTTAAGAAAGTTAAGAAAATATAAATTAAAGTGGTTAGGGAGAGAAAAATGGGAAGTAAAATTGGCCCTATTGTCTGAAATGAATAACATTTGCCTGTATTATTTCTCGATGTTTTTACAGCAGGGAGTAAGGATCTTTTGTGGGTATCAAGATGTTTCAACAACAATTCAAGGTTATTTTCTCAATTTCCAAATTTCAGCCTGTCAGCCTATCTGAAAAATTGAAAAATGGTTGAACATTGCTGCTGTCCTATCACCGAAACCCAGAATCAGGTTCCTAAATTGTTGTTGTCCATAGAGAAGGCGTCAATTAAATGGGCAAATACAAATAATTAAAAGAAGGATGTGCTTGCTAAAGCATCAATCTCTTCGAACGCTGCTACTATAACGGTGCCAACATAACATTCAAAGCCTTGAGTAGTAACAACAACCTGCGAAAAACTAACGTTGTCTTTGAAAGCTCATTCATCTATGTTGTATGCTTCAGCTTCGGTCCAACTAAGTCTCAAAAAGGCAAACCTAACATATTAACTGAACAATTGATCCATAATGATCAAAAAGTATCAATCTGATCTGGTCTTATATACGATCCACTAAATATATGAATTGTCCAAATGAAGGTGAAGGATATCATATAATCGGCCGCAGACTTTAGTCTTTTCCTTACAGCTTGTAAAATATTTTCGGAAAATTCCCTATACTCTGCTCCATCTTTGAACATTATTTAAGTTTTTAAATCAGATCAGATACGGTCATTGTTTGTTATCGAGTTCTTTAACAAGCTAAAAGGAGTTTTAAATATTGAAGAATATGTTGTGTCCATGAAGAAATCTTTCCCAGATAAAATGAAAGCATTCCACCAATTGAAAGTCGAACATCACAACACAACCCACAGGGAAGGGAATTAGTAAGTAATTAGAAGGGCTGTACTGAATATTAGTAATATTTGTTGACCTCTTGTCGGTCAAGATGGTGCAACTATTACAAAATATTGCCCATGCTAGGAAAAAATCCGCAGAAAATTAGAGTTCCATGGTAGTTGTGTAAGGTTGGCACGTCCGACTATACTGCTCCGCTTACTGGATTGTATTAAAATAATTATCTGAATTGTTTTGGTTTGGTTCTAAGACTCTGTTGTAATCATTTCACCTGCGAGATAAAAAACTAGAACGTAAGGTGCGATAATGAAATATTTAGGCCTAGCCTGCCTGGGAGGTACCAGAAGGAGTGGTCTGATATTTCCATCTTCGAACTTGAACTAAGTTTGAAAGAAATAATAAGATATGTAAAGTTTTGATGAAATCCGAATTTTCTGAAACGGATTTGCTCCAAGAAACATGGGGTCCAAAACCAATATTTCGATGAGGCACATTTTCACCGTATCAAAGTTTATACACCCTCAATAGCCATAAGACTGAGGGTATGTACATTATAGTTTCTTAATCGGTGTGTACAAATGTCTGTATAGATCCACTTTTTAGTATGTTCCCTATATTTTCATTTCAAGAACCTGCCAGTATATCTATGGTGGAGGGTATCCAAAGTTCGGCCCGGCCGAACGCTTTTTCACTTATTATATATTTAAATTAATCTAATTGAGAATACGAACCATAATAAAATATATTATGCTTGAAGATTGGACTTATCGGTTCACCCTTTTTGGTAACTCCCTCAAATTTTTAGACAAATATGAAGCTTATTGACAACCCGTATTGGTTCAAACGTTGAAAACTGAATATTGAACCCATTGATCCTCACCCTATTATCCTTCACCCACAAAGCGTCAAAATATTGAGAATTTGTAAAAAAGATATAAAGAGTGTGGAGTATCCATTTAAATCCAAATCTTAAAATAAATTCCAAAAATTCCTAACAATTATTGTAGCTCTTCCACAGTTGGCCAACTTGACACATTTTAATATTTATACTAAACATAAATATATTCAAGCGTTGGCTGTATGTCCCACACCTCTGGTAATACCCTCACAAATTGTCATAAGCATATATCTAAAAAAATTGCTGATTGATAAAATTCTCCAATGATTTGTACGCAAAAATAAAAATGATCCAGTCCGACAAAACGGCTTTTAATACGAAGACTGACCAAAAGACCAAACGCATATCAGTTTAATGTTCGCCAAATATAAGTCATAGTCCGAGGGTACAAATCTGTAGCTGGCTGAAACATTCTAATAAGGCTGATGATATAAAGTTGTTTAGTATATATTATTTCTACGCACGAAATATTTTCTAGAAAAAGTTGACCAACGTCATGTTCATCCTTCAATATATTTAAAATTTACCCATGGCACTATTATGCAATTCCTTCTTTGGTTACGTCCTCAGTCGAAATCGTTGTGGCCAAAGAGAATTCATATTCATGATCCATGGACTATTCCATATGAAGTCCATATGACCTGAATAATTTTAATTTTTGAAGGTGTCGAGAGTAAATGTGTACGGCTACGCAGTCCTGTTTATTTTTAACATAAGAAGAACACACGTGACCCTTCTAAATACACTAGACCATTTATGGGTTAAATGATAAAAATATTTAGGTTTTATATATAATAAATTAAAACATAACATTTATTGATTAATAATAGTAATAATAAGAAGAAACAAAAATGCACAAAAGAAAACAAAGCAAAATAATAAATAAGCAGAGAAGAGAGAGATCCTTTTTTTCAGGGGGAAAAATACCATTTGATGGTCAAAAAAATTATTACGACCATTTCTAAGTAATTATCATTCAGGCTCAACATATTGGCGCCCTGTATTTAGAAGAGATGGTCCTTCATTTGTTGTTGTTGCTGATGTTGTTGTTACTGCTATTTTCTTTGTTTTTTTTTTTTAGTTTTTAAAATTTTCTTTGGGCCAGTGCCATGTGGTTGGTGTCGAGGTAGTGGCAGAATTGGGTTTCAACGTCCTCATCGTCGTCATCATTATTTTTGGTGTTCATGGTGTGGTTGGTTGGTTGGCTGGATGGTGGTGGTGTTGGGGGACAATCACAAAACAACTTTTATTTCTTCCGAAAATAGAACCCATCGCACTTTTGTTTTTGTTGTTGTCGTTTGTGTTTTCTGGTTTGGTTTAAAAACTACTACTCCTGTTGCAACTAACTTAACGGATGATATAAAGAAATATGCAATGCCATCTATCTTTGTAGCCATTGGTTCTGTTGATAGGTCACCAGGCAGAAGAGTGCTGCCATTAGCAACATTATCTGTTGCCAAGAACTGTGTAAAGCTGTACCGGCATCGCCTTCACCGTTGCGACAAATTCCCGGATGTCGTGTAAAATCTTCGCAGTAAATCTGAAATGAGCATCAATAAAAGACACCAGAGGTTTTAATGTTGGCGAAATAGAGGGAGTGCAAGTGAGAGAGTGAGTCGGCTTTCAATGTTTAGATTTATAGCCTGGGCAGTTGGTTCTGTCGCAGTCGAATATTGGTCCCAACATTTTGGGAGTATGTGTGTTGTGTGTGTTTTTTTAGGAATGTTTCTGGGTGTTAGTTTGGTATTGCCCCACACTCACATACATAACGAATGAGGAAGGACATATTAGACCATCATTAAAGAGACTTATTGTTGAGTTCACTATATAACCCAGCAAAGAATTTGAGACAAATTTTAACTCAATATTGAAACCATTTAAAAAATATCAAATTTAGAATAAAAAGAAATATTTATTCGGAAACAAAGATTCAACAAAATAATAAGGTCTTACAAAATTAATTAAAAAAACATTCAAATTCAATCTTTTGCTGGGTTATCTCTTCGCACATCTATCATCTAATAACCCACCCTTCCCACTCAAGTATGCATTGCCTATCTGCCTGTGTATATTTGTATCTAAGCCCATCCTTATGTTTTTACGATTCGCCTTGTTAACGTACAACAACATCAAAAAAAAATCGAAACAACAACCCAAAAAGTCGTACAGTAGCAATAACTCACCCTGGTTAAGCTGTTGGCGTATTTATCGACTAATTCACGTGTAAATTTTGCAGCATCAGGCCCACATATCTTTTTAGCAGCATTTTCGGAACAGTCGACAAGTTCATTGATGGAGCTGTAAATTTAAGACCAGAGAAAAATAGAAGAAGATATTAGTCAGTTGTTTGACTTTTATGTTCGTTTGTATGGGTGTGAGTGTGTTGGCGTGTATGTATGTGTGATTGTACACCAAATATCAACTACCACATTTGCCAATGACGTTAACAGGTAATTTGGTTTCATTTTTCCCAAGGGATAATATGTATTGCATGGGAAATTTGTATTTGTTCCAGACGACAGTGGGTAAAAGGATCGTAAAATTGGTACCGACAGCTTGTTTTAAAACATCCCTCAGGGAGATTGTATGCAACTGACATCTTTTTTATGGAACACTCTTAGTAGATGCGATTAAAAAATTGTAAAATTGGGCCGTCACAAATAAAGGTGTTGCCACAATAATAAAGGTTGTAAATTAGCATTTAAAAATCTAACTTTATAGCAATGCAAGTTTTATCCAAAATTATATTTTGAGGTCCTTCTTTGACGCAGATTTTCTAAATTGTAATTAGGTAATTTTGTAGAGTCCCATATATTTCTTTAGTGTGACTTATACTAAAATTTAATGGAGAATATATTTGCCCTTTATTACATCCTTCTAAAACGACACCTAGTGTAAAAAATAGGCACAAACTCGGAATAAGATCAGTTTTAACCTTAAAATATGTTTTTATATTTTAAATTTTTTTTTGGTGTTTAGGCTAACTTTTGATTATTGCTCTATTCTAAGACCTATAGTAAAAACCCATGGCGAACATTTTTATATTATATTCTGTCCTGCTGTAAATCCGTTTAAAATGAGTTTTCAATAATTTCTGAAAAAGGGGACCGAAAAACCATTCAGAGAGGTATTATACAATAATATTCCACATATTTTTATCGGATTTCGAGAAATCCTATTGCAAGGATATCGAGAAATCCTATTCCGAATATTTTCAAATGTCTGGGAAATGTGCCCCCTTGCTCCCGACGTAAACTTGCAAAATGCAGAAACACGCCTTCTATATTTAGCCCCTGCATCGCACTTTTTTGAAATTTCCGATAATTATTTTTTATGTTGCACAGTGTAATTTACATTTCTGATTATCAACGACAGCTAGTTAACCATTTCATATTTATTGTTGTAAACACAGTTGAAAATTTGAAATTCTTACACAAACTTTTCACTTTAAAGATTTTTATTGTAGCCCTTATTTACATAAACAGGCCCGAGCAGCTTGTCGAACTTAGCATATGGTGATATTTATATAGTGATTTCAGATATTTATTTAAACTCGATACACCATCCCATCTAATACCCAGAATTTTGAAAATTTGATTCAGATTTATTATGACTTTTTAAACTCTCTTTTTTGCCCATGTCAATTTTCGCATCGATCACAATTACCCCACTGTCTGACATATAACATGAATTTCCAGGAAATAGTTCTCAATTAGTATTTCCTCACATACCATTCAATATATGAATGTATGTGTGTTTCTTTACATGTCATACTTACCAGCATATCGTTTTAATGTTCTCACTGAGGGTGATATTTTCATGGTTTTCCTGATTGTTATTAGGCTTCAGGAATAGCATTGTTTCCTTATAACGATTGGCACATACTTCGAATTCTTTCTTAGCCTTTTGTGAGCATGGTGCATGTCTCAGGTATTCTGCCAGCCGGTGAACGATGTACAGAGATACGAAAAGGAAAGAGAAAATAGAAGATGAAAAAAATGGACAAAACATTAGCAGTGTAATGAAACAAAAATCCAGGAAAAAACCAGTAAGGAAAGTAGCAAAGTCGGGCTGGGCCGACTATATGATACCCTTCACCACTTTGGGTATATTCTACATATGTATCCCAACAGACAACGCGATTTTGTTATATATCTATATCTGAACCGATTTCAGGGAAAATTGCCAGAGACTAATTTATATTATTTCAGTACGTTGTGTCATTCAGCCTTGCTATGGATCTTTTCACGCAGCTTAGCAACATCATTTTAGACTTACTTTAGTACTTCAGTAGTGTTGGCGGTTTATTTGGGATACCATTTGTATTTTGTTTTTATAAAAAAACAACTATCTACTAGTGGGGAATGTATGGCATTGATTGCCGAGGGGTAAGGCAGGGAAGACAATAGTTTCGGATCACACCACTGATCCTCATAAGTTCCCTTAGTTTTTTTTGTGATATTCTCCCCAGAAGCTATTGCTTCTATACAAAAACCCTTTCAAACCCAAATGTCTCTTGTAACAAAGCGAAGTACTTAGCTGGCCAACGTACCCTATACCAAAATTCGTGCAAATCGAAAGATATATAGGGACTTTGGTGCACCAATTACATAAAATCGGACGAAAATATATATGGGAGCTATATCTAAATCTGAACCGATTTTCACGAAACTTTGCCACATAATTCTAGACTTAATTCAGTACGCTATGCCAAAATTCGTGCAAATGAAAAGATTTCCAGGGACTTTGGTGCACCAATTACCTACAATCGGGCAAAAATATATATGGGAGCTATATCTAAATCTGAACCGATTTTCATGAAACTTAGCACAAATTATTATAGACCCAAATGCCAGTACGCTATGCCCAATTTCGTGCAAATCGAAAGATATATAGGGTCTTTGATACACCAATTACCTTAAATCGGATGAAAATATATATGGGAGCTATATTTAAATCTGAACCGATTGTCACGAAACTTTGCACACATCATTCTAGACTTAATTCAGTACGCTATACCAAAAGATTTCCAGGGACTTTAGTGGACTTTTTACCTAAAATCGGGCGAAGCTATATATAGGAACTATATATATATATGTGAGCTATATCTAAATCTGAACCGATTTTCACGAAACTTGGCATACATCATTCTAGACCTTATTCATTACGCTGTGCCAAATTTCGTGCAAATCGAAAGATATATAGGGACTTTGGTACACAATTTACCTTAAATCGGACGAAGATATATATGGGAGCTATATCTAAATCTGAACCGATTTTCACGAAACTTTGCACACATCATTCTAGACCTTATTCATTACGCTGTGCCAAATTTCGTGCAAATCGAAAGATATATAGGGGCTTTGGTACACAATTTACCTTAAATCGGACGAAGATATATATGGGAGCTATATCTAAATCTGAACCGATTTTTATGAAATTTTACACACATCATTCTAGACCTAATTCATTACGCTGTGCCAAATTTCGTGCAAATCGAAAGATATATAGGGGCTTTGGTACACAATTTACCTTAAATCGGACGAAGATATATATGGGAGCTATATCTAAATCTGAACCGATTTTTATGAAATTTTACACACATCATTCTTGACCTAATTCATTACGCTGTGCCAATTTTCGTGCAAATCGAAAGATATATAGGGACCGTTTACATTAAATCGGACGAAAATATATATGGGAGCTATATCTAAATCTGAACCGATTTTTCCCAATTTCAATAGGGTTCGTCCTTGGGCCAAACAACTGAGCTGTGCCAAATTTCATCCAATTCGGATCATAAATGCGACCTGTACTTTGTTTACAATTTAACATCTACAGACGGACAGACGGACAGACGGACAGACGGACGGACGGACGGACATGCATAAATCGACTCAGAAAGTGATTCTATGCATATTCTCAAAAGGAACCATGGGTCTATCTCGATTATTTTTGCCTGTTACAAACATATGCACAAAGACATAATACCCTGTACCACAGTGTGGTGAAGGGTATAATGACACAATAAAAATGTGGAAACATTGACAATGGAACGACCACGACCACACATATCCGAATCCTACCTACTAGTTGTACATAGTTGACTACTCCATTCATTGGCAATTCAGTAAAGGCAATGAATCGTTCATTTGTCGTTTAATTTAAAGAAGTCTGAACCTGAATAGATAAATGTGGTGGAGTTGTTTTTTTAAGAGACAATATTTGGGGCAAATTGTATTGGTTAAAATGTCTAAGCCACATAGAATGTAAACGTGGGTGTGTGTGTTTCTGTGTCTGCGAAATAAAATGCAACAAAGAATTTACAAAATATGTTAGCAAAGTTGTTTCGGATGATACAGTGAAAGAAAAGTATGATTAGAAAGTAAGGAGGATGATAATAAGTCTGGTCGGAGAATTCGTTTTCCCTTGTCCATCGAATGTCATTATTGCACTTGTCTTGCCTAATTTAATTTCCCTACCAAATAAACATAATTTTATGCAAGTTTTTGACAGTGTACCATTTACAGATACCTCAGCACGTATCCATGTCCATGATGATATTCAATTCTTTCGTCTATTGTTCTCACAATACAACCGTAGCCAAATATGTTTGCCTTTAATTGGAATTTCGTTCATATGTTGACCACATCTGGTTATCATCCTGTTATGGCCGGTGTGTCTGCCTGCATTGATAGTGAATTTTTGAACAAAACAAAAAAAAGAGGAAGAAGAAGAATGGCTTGCAATTGAAGAACAATAAATCATCCGTTCATTCAGTGGATTGCTCTATTTTGCCATTGAATGGCTTTTTGGCCAGAGCTAATTAATATCTGTTCTGTTTTTCCGAAGATTTTGTCTTTAAGTATTGATATATGTATGTAGGTAGCTTTTTGGGTGGCTTTCCGGCTGACCTTGCATTTAGAGTTTAAAATTATAAAAAGTCATAAACATTAATTTTTGGGGGAATTTTCAATTATGTTGGAAATATAATGTGGGTATCCTATATTCAGTTATTTGTTTTATAGTTATAGTTAAATGAATTGAGACTAGAACGAAATAAGTCAACATTATTTTAAATAGGTACAGATTTAGGTAGGGTTCCCATACGGAAGTTAGACATGAGACTAGATAAATAAATTACAAGTTTAATTCAACGTGCTTCAGATTAATATGTAGGGCCCATATTTATTTTCTTTCGATTCCATGTAAACGAAACCCTAAATATCCCACGATTGACCTTTTGACACAATTCTATTTAATAAAAACAAGTACAAAATTCGTCCACTGTGAAGTAATTATACTCTCCCAAAAGCAGATAAATAAAGAAGAGGTAACCAGTAAGGAAAGCCCAAAAGTCGGACGGGGCTGAATATATCATACCCTTTACCACTTTGGGTTGTTCATATACTCATAGACTCATTTCAATAAGCTATGCAAAATTTCGCTTCAATCGGACGCTTCAATCGGACGAATGATCTAAATCATTATACCCTACACAACTATGTTGTCAGTGTATCCATCCGTCTGTCCATTATAATTTGTAAACACGATACAGGCCACAGTTATGGACCAATCTTCACGAAATTTTGCATGTAGGATGGGCTCTGGCCAATAAAGACCACTATTGTTTTTGGAAAAGATCGGTTAATACATAAGGGATGAAATGGACCAAAAACTTTTTTTTGTCGGTTTTTCTGGTCGCTTCAGAGGCCGCAATTATGGCCCAAATACCGCGACTTTTTGCATGGAGAAGGGGATCGGGCCAAAGAATAAGCATGCCTGTTATTATAAAGATCGGTCAATATTTAGCAGGTCAAATGGACCCTAACTTTTGTGTGTAAAATTACAAAAATTGTATTCTATAGCGTATATATTTACCACTGAGGAACATAGACCCGAGAAATTGATAGTATATCCAAGAGGAGTGGTTGACCTTTAAATTGAAACCAATTATATTGCCGTAGGCACTCGGATGCGGGAGTTACACTTAAATATTTACAGGGCGGAAATATAGCGCTGATCGCTTTGAAATGTTGCATGAGGTTCCAGTTATGGCCAAGGAATATTGCCCAATCTCAGTATAAAGAACCACAAAAAGTTAGATTTTCATGGAAGTTGTGTAGGGTATCGTATGGTCGGCCCCGTCCGACTATATTGCTCCGCTCACTGGTTTTTGTCGTAGTAAACATTTACACCAAATTAGGTTATTCTACACACAAAAATCTTGGTTCATTTGACCCTCTAAATATTGACCGATCATTTTAAGCAGTCATTCATCTGATCATCACCGAAATTCATAGCGATCTGCGCGACTTTTTCTGTTTCTAGTGTGGTAACCAAACAAAATACTTAACACCTTAATATCATAGTGTAACTTCCACATCCGAGTACATACAATAATATATATCTTGGATATACTGTCAACTTATCCGGACTATGTACTTCAGGAGTAAATATAATGTAAATTTTCACACAAAAGCTGGGTTCACATGACCCGCAAATATTAACCGATTATCACGAAAAGACCATGCTTGCGATGTTCGGGTCATTATTTGGCCACTAGAACGTTCGGAAAACTGATAAAAAAAAAATAAATAAATTTTAGATGATAGGTATACTAAAAAGTTTCGCAGGGGAAGAACTCTTGGGGCTTCACAAAACTATAAACCCTTATAACCTTGTTGTGTATGGTGTAAATATGGAATAATTTTTATACCCTACACAACTATGTTGTCAGGGTATTATAGCTTTGTGCAGCCCCAAATGTTTGTAACGCCGCGAAATATTGGTCCTAGACCCACCTTTAAGTATACCGATCGTCATATCTCGACTAGCTGAGTCGATCTAGACATGTGTGTCCGTCCGTCCGTCTGTCTGTCCATTATAATTTGTAAACACGATACAGGCCACAGTTATGGACCAATCTTCACGAAATTTTGCATGTAGGATGGGTTCTGGCCAATGAAGACCCCTATTGTTTTTGGAAAATATCGGTTAATATTTAGGGGATGAAATGGACCAAATACTAAATTTTTGTCGGTTTTTCTGGTCGCTCCAGAGGCCGCAATTATGGCCCAAACACCGCGAAATTTTGCATGAAGAAGGGGATCGGGCCAGAGAATAAGCATGCATGTTTTGATAAAGATCGGTCAATATTTAGCGGGTCAAATGGACCCTGACTTTTGTGTGAAAAATGGCAAAATTTGTATTCTATGGCATATATATTTACTCCTGGAGGATGTAGACCCCAGGAGTTGATAGCATATCCAAGAGGAGTGGTTGGCCTTTAAATTGATACCAAATATAGTGATGTATCTACTCTGATGTGGGAGTTACAGTCAAATATTTACAGGTGCTTACGTATTCAGATATTATTTAGTTACCCATTACCACATTAGAGGGAGAAATATCGCGCTGATGACTTTGAAATTTTTAATGAAGTTCCAGTTATAGTCAAGAACAACGCCTACAATTTTCGGTGATGATCAAGATACAATTTTGGGATGAAATGGACGGAAAACATAATTTTTTGTGTGTTTTCGAGTAGAGTATAATCACAACACAACCCACCGTGAAGGTAATCTGGACAAGTAATTAGAAGGACTGTACTGAATATTCGAAAAAAAGTAAGAAAGAGGTGTTGTTGACCTCTAATCGGACAACAGGGGGCAAATATCACGAAATACTACTCAGACTCAGAATAAACATCCTCAGAAAGTTAGAGTTCGTGGTAGTTGTGTAGGGTATCGTATGGTCGGCCCCGTCCGACTATACTGCTCCGCTCACTGGTTGTAAATATGGGTTTTAGTTACTAGGTACCCGATATGGCAAATTATTGGTACTTCGATATGAAAATTTTTCGTAAATATTTGTTTTACCCTCCAATATCCCGGATTGCCAAATTGCAGCCGCTACAATGGAAAATGCGACTGTACGTTTGTATATGAACCCATTAATACAAACGTACAGCCAAGTTGGTTGTAAATAAAATACCAAAATTTGGGATGTAGTGGGTCAGTATTTGTCATTTGTAATAGGAAAACTGTCTACCCAGTGAGATGGAAAATACTAATTTCGTGTTATTACACTGTGCAACATGAAAATTCCTTATGGGGATGAAATCTCTTGGCGAGTATATCAAGAACTCAGCAAGACTAGTTCTCCATGATGTAAGTGCTTAAGTTATGGCGTGGGGAAGTTTTTCTTGCTAATTCTGAAGATCATGAAGAAAAAGTTATATAATCTGAAGCACGTTTTTGGGGGTTACTAAATCCATTCCCAGATTCAAAAAATCGATCTTTTTATTTCTAATTAAAATTTCAAGTGAAAATTTAACAACTCTTGAAGACATAGCCGATTTATTGCTCCAGCATCAATCCACGGCAATAATGCTTTTCAAACCTTAAACGCCTTTTTCTCGAAACAGTGATCGGTTCTAAATCGAAAAAATGGATTTTTCCTTTATTCTTCAGTAAGTCTTCAAATACAGGTATGCGTAGTTACAAGTCTTTAACATAATTTGCAAGACAGTTGAAACTCGTCGAATTTTAAAATCAAGAGGCATGTTTTCAGGCACATCAAAAATCAGAACTTTTCAGTAGAACTTTTCATCATTCTTTCTCGAGTCCTTTTGCGTCCTTATTTTATTAAACCATAAAAAACTAACACATGATTATTGGCCTCGAAATATTCTACAAAGATATTGTTCATAAGATTTTTGCTATGGTCCTCAAAGACAAGAAATTGATATTCCTATGTTTTCATGGTCCGTTTCCACGTTTACCTGAAAACATGTTGGTTGGTAATCACATGATATAAACTTGTTCCATGTGATTAATGATGTTGTTTGCTTCAACGGCGAATTATGCTGTCAGAATTTTCTGCAAACCTACAAAGTTTATCCCCTTCAGACGGAATTTTGCGTATCGTATTAAATTAAGCCTATGATGAAGTGTTGTTAAATAGGTTGTGATTTATATATATATATATATATATATATATATGTATATCATGTTCTATCGACATGATATACACTTTTTTGTAATGGTTAATTCCCTAGCTTCGTATTTCTGTTTTTGAAATTTTAATAAACTTCCTGGTAACTTTTATCAATGTGCAGATTTTGACATAGGTCCTCTATAAAGTCCGACCGATTTTAGGGTCTTTTCGTCTTTAAAGCTGCCTATTAAGCTTTCATTTGGTGGGAAAGACAAAAAACTCTCTTTTGTTCCCGACGGAAATATCTCCTACTCACAACTCCATAACACACGTCTAGACGAGAGTAATTAATTTGTAATTACCATTTGACCGGAACAACGCTTAATATCCATTAAAAAGTCCTTTAGAGTAGCCCGGCTGTTTTTATTGATTTACATGTCAATTGACACAAATTACATTGACTACAACAGTTGCAACTACAACAATACCAGTAGCAGAACAGAATGAGACATTTAATTTTTAATTATCCTCTCGAGCACCTGATTAACAAAAGCCATCTTACGAAAAATGTATGTGTGCGTCGGTGTGTGTGTGTGTTTGACCATTGTTCAGTTTGCACAAGTTGATAAATGATTTTAAATACCACAACAGTTTTTTCCTACTTGATTCTCGTTATTGCCTCGTATTTTAAGTCAACGGACAAAGAATCTGATCTGATGTGTTCAAACTTACCATCTTGAAATTCGCCCTTGTTACACAGATCCCGTATGAATTGATTAGTGCCATGATACAATTTGTTGAATTGATTGCGTTGCTGGAGATCCATGCAGCGTCGGGTATAGCTCTGTATGCAGCGGACTCCTTTACGTAGTTCACTGAAATGAGATGAAAAAAAAAACAACGTAAATGGATGAAAACCACCGGTCAATGACAAACAAAAAAGAAAACGTCAAACAGAAACAATGCAAAGAAGGAGAGAAACTGAAATGCGGATTAAGAAGTTAAAAGGAAGATTTAGTGTCAAGAGTTGACAAATTGTGGATCCAATTTAAAGAAAGAAAAAAAAAACTCGACGACTTGACATTACGACAACAGACACTTGACACTCGTCGAAGACGTAGACGAAGATGAAGTTAAAGTTTATGCTATATATGCAAATTTGAACAGCATTGCAATGTGCTTCGGTGATGTTGGTAACAGCACCGTGTTACATATGGTCTACCAAATTGAATGTCATCTACTTAACAGCATAATAATGTTACAAGGTTTATTTTTTCCGAGAGAGGAATATTACCATCATTTGTTACAACCTGGACATGATAATAAATATTTATTGTGGACATAGATAAACTATCACTGCTCGTAGTAATGCAAAAATTCAAGAAAATGTAAGGTTGTCTACTTCTGTTGATTCGCTGCGGTAGTCACCATGCAAATATTCTTTGAAATCTTTGCTTTTGGGTTTAAAATGACTTCGCAACTAAAAGAAAAAATCTCATCATCTTCCAACCTTCAAGCTGTGTAAAGAGTAAAATGACTATAAGTTCTTTGCTCATTGTACGTCAATGTCTCGTTTTCTGACTGTCAGTGAATAATTTATTGCCTAGAATGTTGCCAATGGACAGAGTTTAGTATTTGAAAAGAAAATGTGTTTAATTTTATGGTGAATTGTATTGGAGATATGTGCGTAGTAGTTCCATTTGAGTTAAACCCAATATAGCCGAGGCAGATGTTGGGCTCCTAAATCCATCTCCACGTGGTGTGCATTAACAATTCCTGAAATAGGCCGGGATCCTTACATGGGGTATGTGTTATTGCATTAAGTGGCAGTAGGCTGTTCATGCTTTGAAGAAATAATATTCCAATTACAGACACTCAATTGGAAAACCGCGTTAGGGACTTCAACCTATATTCACCATGAATTGGATATATAGGTTAGGGTGGTTTATTCCACCACATGTCCAATATTAGGACAAACACTTAAGTCTGTACATGGTCTGGGTGGCGTAGGGGATGATAGATATCAAGCAACGGCTCTGATTGGATTTAACATGGTTTATCTTGGTCCCACTTTCATCTCAATTGTGGACACTGACCTTCCCGCGGTGCCACATGGGGAGCTATTGTCATCACCCAATGAAACAGTGAGCTAATATGTGCCGCGAGCTCACCCATAAGAACTATAAAAAAATGGGTTGAGGCGTCGGATTAGTTGTTCAGTCTCGGAAAACCCAACCTACTATTAACAAGTGAAAAAGCGTTAAGTTCGGCCGGGCCGAACTTTGGATACCCTCTACTATAGATATACTGACAGGTACTAGAAATGAAAATATAGGGAACGTACCAAAAAGTGGATTATGTAAACCATAATACAAATTTCAGAAAATTTTAATGGATAAATATACCCTCAGCCTTTGGCTAATGAGGTGTATACACATTAACACGGTGAAAATGTGCCTTTTCGAAATATTGGTTCTAGACCCCATCCGTTTCAGAAAATTTAGATTTCATCCAAACTTTGCCCATCTTATTATTTCTTCTAAACCTAGTTCAAATTCGAAGATGGGGAATATCGGTTCACTCCTTCTATAACCTCCACACAGGGGCTAGATCTAAATGCGGCTATAGTTCATTATCGACCCTTACGTTCTAATTTTTAATCTAGCTATCCTCCGCAGGTGAAATGATTACAACAGAGTCTTATTTTAATATAAAAAAGATAACAATTTAAATATAAAAAGGGGGTTATATGGGGACTACTCCAAAATTGGGGGGAATATTAATAATTTTTCGTAGGGAGATTTGTTACCATATACGACTACAAAATACCAAATTGTAGCGAATTTGGTTGAAAAACGCGCTCAAGAACCCCAAAATACAGAAAATTGGGGGTACCCTTATATGGGGGCTATCCGAAAATATGGACCTATATTCATAATTTTTTGTGGAGATATTTTGTACCTATTAAGAACTCAAAATACTAAATTACAGCTAGTTCAGCGGAAAAATACGAGAAAAACCCCCAAAATACTGCGAATTAGGAGGTACCGTTATATGGGGGCTACCAGAAAAAGTGTACCTATATTTATAATTTTTGTGGTGATATTAAATACCCAATAAGAACCCAATGTAGCAAATTTCAGCGAATTCGGTTGAAAACGCGCTCAAGAACCCCAAAATACCGAAAATTTGGGGGTACCCTTATATGGGAGCTATGCCTAAACGTGGACCGATAAAGCCCATCTTCGAACTTGACCTGCCTGCAGACAAAAGACGACTTTATGCAAAATTTTGGCGATCTATCTCCATTCATTTAGACGCTAGAGTGATTACAACAGACAGACGGACATGGCTATATCGTCATAGAATTTTACGCTGATCAAGAATATATATACTTTATAGGGTCGGAAATGATTATTTCGATGTGTTACAAACGGAAAAACTAAACTATTATACCCTCCATACTATGGTGGAGGGTATAAAAAGCAAAGAAAAAGAAAACCAAACCCCCCTAATGTTGAAGACCCCCGCTAACGTATAAAGGACCACGATCTGCACTTGGAATGTGCGCACGTTGTACAGAAAAGGCGCAGTGTTCGCTTTGGAGGATGATAAAAGGGACTGTCGTAAGTAAATTAGATGATTACGTCCTATATTATTTGGCTGGTTAACAGGAGAATAAAAGACCTCGTCTCCAGATTCACTCCAGTAGATGAGCGAATTGCTATAATCTGTATGAAAGCGAAGTTCTTCTACTTAAGCCTTATTTGCACCCATGCTTCGATGGAAGACAAAGATGAACAGACCAAAGACATTTTTTACGAGCCTGGAAACAGCATATGACCGCTGCCCTATCCATGACATGCTAGGAGAATTTAATGCAAAAATCGGAAGGGAAGGGGAAAATTAAGAAACATCAAACAACGGCATGAAGTTGATTGACTTCGCGGCAGAAAAAATCGGAAGGGAAAAAATGAAGAAACATCAGACAACGGCATGATGTTGATTGACTTCGCGGCAGCAAAAAAACATGGTAGTTAGCAGTATCAGATTCAAGCATCTCGATATACACAAGACCACCTGGATTTCTCCCGATCAAACACGAGAAATCAAATCGATCCTGTTGTGATAGACGGAAGGAATTCATCGATCGATCCGAGGAGCGAATATCGTTTCGGACCACTACCTTGTAGCAGCCAAGCCAAGATAGCAAAGCCTACTCGGCTCAACTTACACACTTGCTTGACGAATGCACTCCTTGTTCCGATAATAGTATAAAAGCACAAAGGCAAAGAATTGCCCACTTCCTACAAACTGCAAACCTGGTGACGTACACAGAAAACATCTTAAGGATCTGGAAGGAGCATTTTTAAAAGCTTCTGATATTAAATAGTGGTGGTGATGAAGATCGCCTGAACCAATAAGAGATGGCGATATAGAGTGTATACCACCTAGCCAATATGAAATCAGAATATCAATCAGTAGGCTGAAGAATAATAAAGCAGCAGGTGCCGATGTGTTACCAGCCGAACTATTCTAGACTGGCGGTCAAACGCTGGTAAGGAGTATACACCAGCTGATTAGTACAATTTGGCTAAAGGAATGCATGTCCTATGATTGGAAGCTCAGTATCCTGTGTCCCGTCACAAAAAAGGAAACAGGGCAATATGTGCCAACTATAGAAGAATAAGTCTCCTTCCCATCGCATATAAAGTGATATTCAGCGTGCTGTGTGAACGGCTGAAACCAATGGTTAATGGCCTTATTGGACCGTACCAATGCGGTTTCAGACCTGGCAAATCCACCACTGTGTGACAAATCCTATAAAAGACCCACGAAAACCACATTGACACATTCCACCTATATGTCAACTATAAAGCCGCATTCGACAGCCCTATCCATTCAGATGTATAAAAAGCCATGTCTGCGTTCGGCATTCCTAAAAAATTAGCAAAACTAACAACATCAGTTCTGAAATTCGGAGGAGAATAGTGTTGGCCAACAGATGCTACTATGTTCTGAGTAAGCAACTAAATAGCAAGTCCACCTTTCGCCAAACCAAACTCCACTCTACAAGACGCTGATATTACCCATTCTGTTGTATGGATCTGAAGCATGGGTACGTGCGCAAGCAGATGAGGCAGCTCTTGGAGTGTTTGAAATAAAAATACTCCGGAAGATCCATGGACGATCTGCGGTGACGGTGAATATCGTCGTCGACCATAAACT